ATCCAGGTGAGAGATGATGGAGGCGATGGTGGAGAGGGTCAGAAGGGACCTGATTCCTGGGATATGTCAAAGGAAGTGCTGCAGGATTTGCTGATGGAGTAGGTGTAAGGCCTGAGAGACAGGAAGATTCCAGGGTGCATAAAAACTATTGGAAAAATTAGAGAAGGAAAGCAGATGAGTTAAAAATAATAGTAATTTTCACCTTCATTGGGTGCTTACTATGCATCAAGCATCATGCTAAGTTCATTATCTACATTACATCACTTAATCCTCCCTACAACCCCAGTTTACAATGAAGGAACTGAAGCTAACAGAGGGTAAGCAACTTGCCATTCATGGAGCAAGTGGTGGGTCGAGGACCGGGCCCCATGCAGTCTGGCTGCAAAGCACGCGCCCTAACCCCTCCACGCGATACAACTTCTATTTTCTCTGAGAAGTAAAAGGTTACCCAGAGTTGGGGGACAGAGACCCCAAACTGGGGGTTCAAAAAGAATGTTGACTTATTAATTGAAAAATATGCATCAAAGATTTAAATAAATAATAAGACAATTGTTGATGATGCTTTCTTTAGGGGAGTGGTTGGTGTCGCTTGGGCCTCACCCTCCTGCCTGGGCCACGTCTCGATGAAGAAAATGACAGAGCCATCTTTCTGGACCTCTTCAAAAGTGGTGTTCATCACCGAGATATCCCCATCACTGAGTCATCCCTTCAGCTGCCACAACTGGTGTGGGACTGACTCCCAGCCCCCAGTCCTATGAGATAAACGTTCCCTCCATCTTGGAGCCTTTCAAGGCTCCTCGTTTAGCATAAACGCTGACCTGAAATCCAGTGGGTCTGCAAGATGGAATTTGAGTCATGGCATATTTATTAAGCTGAGTACTGGGGCTTGGCACTCAGAGGGACACCAAATTCATTCATGACACAGCTCTTGCCCTTGAAGGGCTTACAGCATTGGTTTGGCTGGGGGACCACCCAACATCCACTAGGATGGAGAAACCAAATCTCCACTTTGGGTTCATTGTGCTGCACGAAGTGACAGGCCAGGAGACGAGAAGGGCCTCGGTGCCTGTGGAAGGCCTGGGTGGCTTGCAGTCCCTCAGCTTGCGGTGCATTAACTCCAAGAGCAGCCTGGCTGCAGAGTCAAGGTGGCTGTTCGTTCATAAACATTGTCATTTCACTGGGACTGCTATTTCATCTTTGAACCTCGGCTTCAAAGAACACTGGCCTTATTCCTGTAGTCTGCCTTTCTTTGAAGCGTATGGCTTTGCCTTGCAGACTAAAGTGAAGACATCCATCAAGCAGCAGATCTGGCCAACCGCTCCCCAAACTCAACCCAAAACAAAGCCTTGAAAGGCTCCAATCACAGCGGCAGGGGAGCAGCCGGAGATCAAGGCTCGGAGCAGGGTGCTTTCTCAGATCCCGTAAGGCAGCTCTGGCTCCATGAAGTGCAGCCCTTTGAGCTTCGGGCAACTTTACCCTGAGAGGTGCTCTGTCTTTGCAGAAAGGGGTGAGTTACTGCAACGTTCCCAACCAGACTTGTTTATCTTATTTAAAGCAGGCATTGTTGTCAATGAGGCCAGCGTGATGGTTCACTGTGTGCTTTTGAATTCTTCAAAAGCCGTGTCAGGCTGAACCATCTGAAACTTGGCTGATGATTCAGTCAGGTTTCTTTTTTATCACTTTCTTTTGTTAGTCCCTTTGAAAAGAAACTGTCCGATCTTTCTCCCTGATTCCCCTTCACTTGACTCTGAGAACACAGACTGAACATGTATCCTTCTCTCATTTCTTTCCTTTTTCTCTTAAGAAGGGTGAAGTGAGACCCTTTAACTGGGAGGTTAAAAATAATGACCAGGTAAGAGAGAGAACCAAGGGAAATATCTCTCCCCTCAGAGGAAGAAAAACTGACGATAGATAGCTATCAAAGTTCTTATGATCATGTCTTTAAATGTAACTTTTCTGCAGATCTTTTTGGTCAGATAAACAGAGTGAGTTCTGTCTGTGATGAAGTGGTAAAGCCATCCAGAGGTGGGAAGGAAAAAATTGTCAAGTTGGGGACATGTTAATCAACGGATGCTGATAATATATACACTACAGGGCTTAAGAAATTAGTGATCGTTATTAAGACGTAGGCTAATTTTCAGGGTAACTTGTTTCTAGTTATTCATCTTGAAAATATGACCAATGGATAATTCTGGTCATCATAGGACAATTCATTTAACTGGCGTTTTAGCTTTAGTCTCAAATAATTGTTTTCCATTAAGAAATGCACATAGTCAAGATCATTAAGATGACTTTGAGAGAGTTCCAGTGGTTCCGGACCAGTTTTTTCACACAACTGGACAGTTCATGTGGGAATGGAGACAGGTCTATTTCGAGTTTCAGCTTTAGAAGGTTTAAAGATATCTGCTTATTCATATCTATATCCATATCTCTTAGTTTACCACCACCATTTCCCCAAATTCAGGTGGGCCATGCGACTAGTTTTGGCCAATGCATGGTAAGCAAGGTGATGTGTCACTTCCAGGCTGATCTTTCTTTCTACCATGGCGACTGTGGAGGCCAGTTGCTGAGATGGCCAAGCCTCAAGCTCGCAGAAGCCTGAGTCACTTCCTATGGAGAAGAAGTGTGCAGGGAGATGTCCGATTTGTATTAGATCTGGTATTAGATCTGCGAGCAAGAAATAAACTTTGATTCAGGTAAGTCTTTGAGATTCTCAAGGTACACTGGCATAATTTAGCTTATCCTGACTAATCCAGGACCTTGAAGGAAATCTAGCTTTACCTCACCTGCATCACAAGAATCCTTCCTACAGCTTCTCCAAGACATAGCCCAAATACTTCTTGAACACCTCAGGAATAATACCAAGTAATGCAGCAAGCAATTATACAATGCTTACTATAGATGGAATTGTTTTCAGTCATAATGAAGCATTTTATATGTCTTATTTTACCTAATTCTCACAAAAACCTTAGTTCATCAATATCCCTTTCCTTATTTTACAGCTGGAAGAACTGAAGCACAGACAGGTAACTTGCTCAGGGTTGAGCAGATCAGTGAAATCACTTGCCTAAGACCACAGCAAGTTAAGTAGTATCCCAGGAGTCAAGTCCAGGCATCTGCTTTCAGTTTATGCCCTTAAGCATTGCACCATGGATGGACTGGATTCGCATTTCCTTTTTTTTTGTTTGTTTGTTTTTTAATAGATCTTTATTGGAGTATAATTGCTTCACAATACTGTGTTAGCTTCTGTTGTACAAAAGTGAATCAACCATATGCATACATATATCCCCATATTCCCTCCCTCTTGAGCCTCCCTCCCACCCTCCCTATCCCACCCCTCTAGGTCGTAGCAAAGCAAAAGAGAAAAACAAATACCACATGCTAATGCATATATATGGAATCTAAAAAATATATATATATATGGTACTGATGAACCTAGTGGCAGGGCAGGAATAAAGATGTAGACATAGAGAATGGACTTAAGGACACAGGGAAGGGGAGGGGGAAGTGAGGCGAAGTGAGGGTAGCATGGACATATATACACTGCCAAATGTAAAATAGATAGCTAGTGGGAAGCAGCCGCATAGCACAGGGAGATCAGCTCAGTGCTTTGCGACGAATTTCTTTTTCACACGGACTATTCAATAAGACACAGAATCATAAAACCCAAAAGACATGGCTGGAAATGACCTGAAGGTCAGTCAATCATTGCATTTTACATAGAGGAACAAAGTCACCCTCCAAGCCTTTTTCTTGCTTTAGTGAAAAAGAAAAGTCTATCCTTTTCAACCGAGTGACTGAGGAGCACGGGGGCTCAGTGGAATGGCTTCAGGGACCATTGGTTTGGAGGTACATAGAGACACTACGTCATCCGCACCAGCCCTGTTTTAATCTGTTTTATATATAGTAGGCTTCTGGGTAAAATGTGTATGTGAATAAAGTATTCTGCTGTTTTAATAAAATTGAAAAATGATGGATCTCTCCATATTTCTACTGAAATAGTAGGCTTGGAACATTGCACTAGACAGTATAGGGTTTCACATCAGCTGAGAGGTGGGTCAGGGCACACGGATTGTATAGTCCAGCGAGCAGGTCTGAGGCCAGGGTAATTTGCTGCTTCTACAAACACACTCACTAGACTGCCTGACAGCAAGAACTGCCCTAGCCATCACTGTTCCCCATTGTGATAAATAGTAGAAGCTCTATAAACTGTATATGAAAGATGGAGAGTTCCAAGAGCCTTTGATGAAACCATTTTTCAAAAAAAAAGGTTAAGCTCATTTGAGTTGAACAAAGTAGCACACCTTGGCTGTGGTGATCCAACATCAAAGAAATGGCTGGTAGGTTATCGTTGTGAGTGTTTTGTCCATATATTCTTAAATGGGCAGTGGTGACTTTCTTCTCCCCAGCTCCTGGCTGGTAATGAATGAATGAATGAATGAATGATGAGATAGATGGGTGGGTGGATGAAAAAAACGAATATTAAATTGACTAGTTTGTTCCCAGGGAAACACAAGTGACAGTTCCAAGAAAGCACAGGCAAACACACACCAAGTTTGGCTTCATAAACAAAATTATCCACATTTGCTGATCACATTAAGAGGTGAATTAGAAAGTTTTCATTGCTTTAAAAGAGGATCCTCCGCTTTTTTGTGTGCTGACGGCAGTTCTAGTACATTTATGTACTGTGTACTCTTATGTATTATGTACTATTGATGTGCATATGGCTTGATTTACAAATTGGTTAAGACAAGGGTGTATAGGGACTTCCCTGGAGATCCAGTGGTTAAGACTCTGCACTTCCACTGCAGGGGCAGTGGGTTCAATCCCTGGTCCGGGAACTGAGATCCCACATGGCACGCGATGCGGCCAAAAAAAAGAAAAAAAAAAAGACAGAAATGTATATTTGAAAAGGGGGGAGGTTGATGGGGCAGAAGGGAGACAGGGAGAGGTCTAGGAAAGGAATTCACGGGAGATGTGCTTGCTGCAGACCCTCTTACCTTGTGTGGTCCCATCTAGTCCCATGATGAGTTTCATTGCTCTGATGACTTGCTCTGCTATCGGGGGGCTCATGGAGGTGGCATAAGCAGCGCTATGTGAGTGAGCCCGTAAATAATCCACAAGGTCCTTTAATACAGGAGGAAAATCCAAAAAGAAGGCAAATAAATCTCAGTGTTAGTGGCCCCATCCCCACCCATCATCGCACAAGACATTTGATTCTCGAATGTGGTCTGATTTTCAATGGGCATCACCAAACTCTTTATTTTTTGTATCCTTTCTTCTTAGTCTCTCCCTAAACAACCTAGAAGGTATACAACAATGGGATGCTGCAAATTTGGAGTGGAGTTCTGTAAGGCAAAACCAGATGTGTAAAGGAAAAGCGGTTTCCTAGACATTTGTTTGGGTACCTAGCCCACACAAGCACTGGTTTAGTATTCAGGAGAGTCCAAAGAAAAATCCGGGATGTGTTTTTTGCCCTTGAGCATATTACATTAGCTTGTGCCCATGGAGGAGTAATGGCTGGAAAAATAACAAGACATGCAGACTAGTTTATGCAGCGGGGCTACCAGATGGCCAAGGAAGGAGAGGGGATATTACCAGCGGGAGTAGATAAGGGAGGCTCCAGTGAGCAAGTAGAATTGTCTTGAAGAAAGAAGACAGACAAAGATAAAAAGAAAACTTTCAGGGGAAGGGAGCAGCAGGAGGGAGAGGAGAGAAATTAAACCAGTGTGGAGGTGAGGACCAGATAAACTCTAGTTGTGCCTTGAGCAGGAGACAACTGTTGGGATTTTTGTGTAACCCTATTTGGAGCGCTGACCCACTGCAGGATGCTGGCCCGCACAGTGGTAGGAATGATTCTCCACCTGCAAGTCTGACCCTTGAGGCCAAACCTGAGGTCCCAGGTAAGCATGCTGAGAGCCTGAAGAAGCTCCAATCACCTCATTCTACAGCGATGGTGAGGGACTCCGAGCTGGTACCTGGAGGCACTCAGCCCTGGCCAGGCAGACCATCCATTGGCCCACCTTTCCTGACTCACAGCCCAGGACCCTCGGGGTTGTCCTGCAGAAAAGCTAGTGGGCCCATAGTGGCTCTGCGTTAGCAGTGGGGTCTGTAAAGCATCAGCCACCTTCTCTCCCAGGATAACGACACAGCTTAGGATCCCACTTAGGACCTACTCTGATCATTCCCTGGAAGATGAACTGGGGAGAGCTCTGCTTTGAGCAGGCCCATCTCGTCCTAACTCCCCTTCACCGGCCACATCCACTCCCACCTCCGCACCTGGGACTGTGCCCACCTGTCACTTTTCTCCCTCGGGTTATGGGTGTCGTGTTTGCTCCCAACCGTGGGTCGTTACCCAAGCATTTTAAATGTACATAGTTTATCTTCCTATGAACTAGTAACTAAAGTTAATAGGTAAGTAAGTAGAGAGTACCTAAAGTTACTATGAACTTTCCTAAACATTCATAGTAAAGTGAGTGGCCTGCCTTACAGGTGGTTGGTGACATGATGCCTCTACCTGGCCCACAGGGGGAACAGGTAACTCCATCCTGTCCTTCCTGCTTCCTTCAATATGTCCTTCATCCTTAATCCCCCCTCCCAAGCTCCTGCTTCCCCGACTTCCTTTCTCCTTCATTTCACACTCTTCATTCCTTTTTGTTGGTTTGTTTCTTCTTTTCCATCCCCATCATTTCTACTCTGGTTCCC